ATCTGTTCTTAGTAAACTTTCAGAGGTTCATGGTAAACTCTGACTCAGATCAATGTTTACCTGAAGACCTACACAGTGATGAAGTCTATACAAGTTCCCTCAGCCTTTCCTCTTAGCTCTGTCCTCTCAGTTCCGGGACCAGTCGTGTAGTAAGCCTCATGCCTCACCAACACCTGCCCCTCCCTCATGCCTCACCAACACCTGCCTCTCCCTCATGCCTCACCAACACCTGCCTCTCCCTCATGCCTCACCAACACCTGCCCCTCCCTCATGCCCCACCAACACCTGCCCCTCCCTCATGCCCCACCAACACCTGCCCCTCCCTCATGCCCCACCAACACCTGCCTCTCCCTCATGCCTCACCAACACCTGCCTCTCCCTCATGCCTCACCAACACCTGCCTCTCCCTCATGCCCCACCAACACCTGCCTCTCCCTCATGCCTCACCAACACCGCCTCTCCCTCATGCCCCACCAACACCTGCCCCTCCCTCATGCCTCACCAACACCTGCCTCTCCCTCATGCCCCACCAACACCTGCCCCTCCCTCATGCCTCACCAACACCTGCCCCTCCCTCATGCCCCACCAACACCTTGTAACGGGGGGTGGGGGAAATAGCTCTATCTTGTCCATTATTCCACCCCCCAGTTAACTAACGAGGCCGGGGGAAACAGCTCTCTAGTCCGTTATCCCGTCCTCAGTTAGCTAACTATTCTAGAGCACCCTCCAGAGTTCCTAAGGCAACCTCTCTGGTTCAACACCTTGTAACCTAGGTATTTGACTACCTAGGTGCTAAGACTACAAGGCGCAAACTGGATCAGCTACCCGAAACTCTAGAGAGAACTCTAGAATACAGAATCATTGCCACAACGTAAAAGAGAAAACGAGAGGAAAGAAATGAATAGTGAAGTAATTAGTGAGGGTTTGGGGTGAGAGGTAGAGAGGTGGGAGGAGCGAGGAGGGTCATTAGTTGAAAGTGAGAGTTTAGAGAGGGGTGGAGGGAGAGAGACGTAGATAGGTAGAAGTAGAAGAGTAGATAGTAGAAGTAGAAGAGTAGATAGTAGAAGACGAAATGCTGCCACCATCCATTCATGATCATTACATACAAGACAAGGAATGGAACTTGCCTGTATCACAAAATTCTCAAAAGATGTTATCAAGAGATCATTATTAGTAGTTCCCATCTTTATCATGTACTCATTCTACACCATGAAACCAGTAACCACAGAGGCTTTCTCACCTCAACTCAAAGCTCTAGGGAACAAAGTTAAACACAATTTAAATAATAAATTCATAATTATATTTCACATGAAGTATCATAATTTAGCAATTCAATTAAAATGTTCCAGTTTAATATGCAAAGTGAGTCATCATCCAAGAATCTGAGAACACTACAACTTGACTGCCCCTGATCATCACACAACATATGTAAACACGACCAAGTCACCTTAATGTTCACTCACCGAGGACGAGTCTAAGTTGAATAGAGAGGGGGGGGGGGTCTGTAGCTTGACAGAGACTGTCTCGCCCCTGCCGGCCGACAGCCTCCCTGCTAGGGAGCAGGTCTCTGCTCTCGTCTGCTGTTCTGTCTCTTAATGCTTCATGCTGGATAGCTCTCCGAGTTTATATTGGGGAACCTAGTAGCTAACTCCGCCCACAAGTAGATAGCCTCCGGCACTACCAAGCCACTCCTTAAACGTCGGCATGTTTGAAGGCTACCAGACTACAATTATAAGCTTAGCGGAAGCAAGGTGAAATTCTCATGATCTGACCTCAGGTCACTTGGGTCGTTAACGGTTAGAGGTGTGAGATCTCAGGCAGACAACTGGCGCCTCTCCGATCCGTGTCTGTGACTCATGTACTCTATATATATTTTAAATAAACTAACTCAAACACTTTTACAGTGTTACATCTCCCCTTCTCCCCGAAATAAAGTTTTTGCAACACTGCTAAAGCAAGCTAGCTGTGTGCAACAACTTTATTAACGAAAAAAAAATACATCCTAGCTAAACAAATATACCTCATCCTACTCTAAAAAATGAAATATATAGACAGACGTCCATTGTCTCTGGCTGGGCGACGTCACTGCTTGGTCTTGTAGATAATCCTGTACCACATTTCTTCAACACAACTGCCTCCGTCGCTTCTCCGTCGTTAACGCACAACAACACTTGGTCAACCCGAAAGCCGTTACTACTTGAACTGAGCACAGGACCGTGGAATTCGGTTGTCCCAGCTGATCTGTAATTGGCCCTACGTCAGTCACCATGAGAGACGTATATTGGGGTTCTTCACAGCTATAGGGACTACAAGTTTCGAGACCTTCATATAGTTGCCAACAGTAGAAATCCCATCCTACTCTTCTTCCTCCCTGTTGCTCCAGCACGCCTCCTTCAGAGAGCTACTTCTGACAGCCACAATCAAGTCCGCACGACACAGGAAGAATCATTCAACAGAGCAACATGCTTGCAGGAGGGGCGGCCAGTTAAGGCAAACGATCCTGTCTTGCAATTACGCTCCATGCAATGATGCTGACACCAGCAAGGAACACGAGGCATCGTGTCTCACTCAGCTTGTCTTATCTTCTTCTTCTTTCTTCTTTCTTCTCTCTTCCTTCTTCTCTCTTCTTTCTTTTCTCTCTCTTCTTTCTTCTCTCTTTTCTCTTCCTCCCCCATGGGTCTTTGACCAGCGACCTGGGGTCCATTGGGGTCCGTCCGTCCTGGGGTCCACTGGGTAGACCAATGTTGACTGACCGAGAGGGCTGCATCTCGGGGGTCCCCTGGGGTGATGGTGGTGGCCCTGACATCCAGGTAGGGGGCTGGTCGTCGTGGTGGTGAGGAACTTCCCTGAGTGTGGTACACAGCAGCCGTCTCTCTCTTCTGCATATGCGTCGCGCCTCTCCTCTGGCTCCCACCTGTGAATGAACATAAAGGCGACAATACCCGTGTTCCATGCTGTTGTGTGACCCTGTAGTTTGTATAGGGTTCACACAGTCCAATTATAAGCTCTCCTCCTGGCAACAACTACACTTAAATTTTTTTAAAATAATCCAATTAACACTGAATGATACTGACTTGGTGGAACATAAGACAGTAACAGAGGAAAGTTAGAGAAGAGAGAATAAGGTCATCACTACCTTTAACTTGTCACAAAAAAAAATCAACACTAATAGACAAAACACTAGCCTAAACTTAACTGTACCGTTCCTAATCTTAAGTACATAATTAACCATTACTCCCACCCTTAACCTACAGCCACCTACGTGACCCAGAGTGTTTTCCTAGCTTCTCCGCCGGTCAACAACTCCCAACTGTTGCCACCCCTGTGACCAGACTTCAAACGCCAGGCGTCCCTAGACGTGAGTCAACTGACACACTAGTCCACACTAGCATGCTGTACAATACCAGTACACCTCGGGTTATTGCGTTCAAATGGAGTAAAACAGTCGACCGCAATAATCTGAGCAGAACCACACTTAAACTACTTAAGAACTACCCTGCCACTCCCCACTGACCTGGAGACCAGCGGTGGCTGGGTGTCCCCGTGGGACATGCGAGGTCACCTGTCACACTCAGGTGAGCTGCACTACCAACACCGCTAAGTTCCAAAATCACCAAATCTTATCACTAACATAAAACACTACACACACGCAAGTTCTGGTGAACATTCCCTGAACACCACAAAACTCACAAATCACTAAACCACAACACTAGAGAATCACTATCTCCTAGCCTGAAAAAACTCGCTAAATCGCGAAAGTAAAACACCTGTCAAGATCTCCTGATAGCGCCTGAGCGGCAAAAAGACACGTGGGACTGAACAATGTTAAAAGAACACCAACTACCTACAACATTGTTCAACACCGCTGCCAACATTGTAACGGGGGGTGGGGAAATAGCTCTATCTTGTCCATTATTCCACCCCCCAGTTAACTAACGAGGCCGGGGGAAACAGCTCTCTAGTCCGTTATCCCGTCCTCAGTTAGCTAACTATTCTAGAGCACCCTCCAGAGTTCCTAAGGCAACCTCTCTGGTTCAACACCTTGTAACCTAGGTATTTGACTACCTAGGTGCTAAGACTACAAGGCGCAAAACTGGATCAGCTACCCGAAACTCTAGAGAGAACTCTAGAATACAGAATCATTGCCACAAACGTAAAAGAGAAAAACGAGAGGAAAGAAATGAATAGTGAAGTAATTAGTGAGGGTTTGGGGTGAGAGGTAGAGAGGTGGGAGGAGCGAGGAGGGTCATTAGTTGAAAGTGAGAGTTTAGAGAGGGGGTGGAGGGAGAGACGTAGATAGGTAGAAGTAGAAGAGTAGATAGTAGAAGTAGAAGAGTAGATAGTAGAAGACGAAATGCTGCCACCATCCATTCATGATCATTACATACAAGACAAGGAATGGAACTTGCCTGTATCACAAAATTCTCAAAAGATGTTATCAAGAGATCATTATTAGTAGTTCCCATCTTATCATGTACTCATTCTACACCATGAAACCAGTAACCACAGAGGCTTTCTCACCTCAACTCAAAGCTCTAGGGAACAAAGTTAAACACAATTTAAATAATAAATTCATAATTATATTTCACATGAAGTATCATAATTTAGCAATTCAATTAAAATGTTCCAGTTTAATATGCAAAGTGAGTCATCATCCAAGAATCTGAGAACACTACAACTTGACTGCCCCTGATCATCACACAACATATGTAAACACGACCAAGTCACCTTAATGTTCACTCACCGAGGACGGAGTCTAAGTTGAATAGAGAGGGGGGGGGGTCTGTAGCTTGACAGAGACTGTCTCGCCCCTGCCGGCCGACAGCCTCCCTGCTAGGGAGCAGGTCTCTGCTCTCGTCTGCTGTTCTGTCTCTTAATGCTTCATGCTGGATAGCTCTCCGAGTTTATATTGGGGAACCTAGTACTAACTCCGCCCACAAGTAGATAGCCTCCGGCACTACCAGCCACTCCTTAAACGTCGGCATGTTTGAAGGCTACCATACTACAATTATAAGCTTAGCGGAAGCAAGGTGAAATCTCATGATCTGACCTCAGGTCACTTGGGGTCGTTAACGGTTAGAGGTGTGAGATCTCAGGCAGACAACTGGCGCCTCTCCGATCCTTGTCTGTGACTCATGTACTCTATATATATTTTAAATAAACTAACTCAAACACTTTTACAGTGTTACAACCTGCCCCTCCCTCATGCCTCACCAACACCTGCCTCTCCCTCATGCCTCACCAACACCTGCCCCTCCCTCATGCCCCACCAACACCTGCCCCTCCCTCATGCCCCACCAACACCTGCCCCTCCCTCATGCCTCACCAACACCTGCCCCTCCCTCATGCCCCACCAACAACCTGCCCCTCCCTCATGCCTCACCAACACCTGCCTCTCCCTCATGCCTCACCAACACCTGCCCCTCCCTCATGCCTCACCAACACCTGCCCCTCCCTCATGCCTCACCAACACCTGCCTCTCCCTCATGCCTCACCAACACCTGCCCCTCCCTCATGCCTCACCAACACCTGCCTCTCCCTCATGCTCACCAACACCTGCCTCTCCCTCATGCCTCACCAACACCTGCCTCTCCCTCATGCCTCACAACCACCTGCCTCTCCCTCATGCCTCACCAACACCTGCCCCTCCCTCATGCCTCACCAACACCTGCCCCTCCCTCATGCCTCACCAACACCTGCCTCTCCTCATGCCCCACCAACACCTGCCCCTCCCTCATGCCTCACCAACACCTGCCCCTCCCTCATGCCCCACCAACACCTGCCTCTCCCTCATGCCTCACCAACACCTGCCTCTCCCTCATGCCTCACCAACACCTGCCCCTCCCTCATGCCTCACCAACACCTGCCTCTCCCTCATGCCTCACCAACACCTGCCCCTCCCTCATGCCTCACCAACACCTGCCTCTCCCTCATGCCTCACCAA